CTGGGTATGCACTGGCTCCTGAATGTATCTGACCCTGCTTCAGTGTTGATCAAGTCTGGTCTTGCGTTTCTGATATAGGTTTCCCTTGATATACGAATGGGCAAGGTTCCCCAAAATCATTCATTAAGTGAATTTTCGTATCTCAAATAACAAGAGCAATTGGGAAAAATAGGGTTCGGTTCCCAATAACAAAAAACCCAATATCATACCCCAAAAAAACACAAAATCGGTTCACAAACAAGGAAAAACCTGCCTAACTAACAATAAATAGTACCTTACAGTACACAACTACGGTACTTAACTACCTAACACTTTACTGTAGAAACATTAATTACATACTGTACTATCTAGATGGAAATATGCAGCTAAAACTATGAAGGAAAAGCTTCACGCGTGGCTGCCCTCAAGTGTCGCCATAGCAACACCGTCTGGCTGCTCCTCCTGCTTTCACACACAAACTAATGCTTATTCCCTTTATGTTTTTACCTTTTGATAGTTATTTATTCTTTTATTTTTTAGGGGGGCACATTATGTATGTAGGGATGTAATTGAATATAAAAAAAAGAGTGAAGAAAGTTAAGTTTATCTATCCCAAACTACAAGTATGTTTGTCAACTAATTAAATTTTTTTAGATGTAATATTGGCATTTTCTTCTTGTTGGGAACTGAACCCTATTTTCCCCATTTATTCTGTTATTCACTATCGAATAGTTTTCAAAGAACCAAACCCATTCAGATAATGATGGATCTGTGTTTGATAACATGTCTAAAGGCATTATTGGCTGGAAGAATAATATTAACTGCTTGACTTACTACAACATATCTGCCCTGGGACAGTTACACCCAAAAATTTGAGAGAGGGAACAGGGCTGTCAAATTTACATCATAAAAATTCTTAGTAAACTATTCATTGGGCTCCTGTCTAACAGTTCAGGCTGCAATTTAAAATTATTGAATAGCTTAAGCTCATAGATTACTGTATGTACTTCCATATTTAATTAAATTATAGAACTTTCTTAAGACAGAGACTCACTCTACCCTTCCCTAATTATAAGTAGTTTGGGGCTTTTGTCCTTAATACAACTACTCACTTGAGTGTTACTCAGTCTGTGGAAAATTTGGGTTAAAGGAACCCTTAGAAAATCCTCATGTACAATCAAAGACAAAAGTCGTGTCGCGGTTTTGTCCAAAGATTAAATATAACTCGTGAATCATTATGAGAACCCTACCACAAGGCAGAGCACACCAAAAGCTTTAGCCCTTCGGCATATGTTTTCACCAAATTTCACGACACGACTTTCGTCTTTCATTGTACACCATACAACTCAGCTGACCTTATGTTCCCTAATGAGTTATCTGTATTTCGTATTTCAAACAAATGGAAACATACAAACCTACCATGAGGAAAATTTAGCATGTAGGTGCTGATATACCCACTCTGACCCTCAACTCTCCTTCTATCTCTTGTTCCTGTCAGGAACTCTAAGTAGTATGTATAGCATATGAGTTACACTGTGTATTGAGTCTTTGCTGTGACATGAAATACAAGGCCATTCCATGTGTTGCCAGTCTGAGAGAATCCATATAGAACATAATAAAAATTCCCTTGTCTAAAAAAGATACAATAGGTCATTGCAAGGCTGAACTAATATAACCCTTAGACACACTCTAAAAGAAAGTTATCTTAATCATGTTGATGAAATAAGATGGTAAAATACTAGGGCCCAGAAGGTGTCAAAACTTATGTGGTACAACTTCTGATCAACCAGTCTTCCTTGGCTTGAATGACAAATTTCCTATCATTCAGAAATATTTTCCTCTGAGAATCAATGAACCAGGGTGTGAGAGAAAGGACATTCACTTTAGTATTGCTACTGTGCTTAGGGAGTATGTTATGTTGAGACAGTGCGATTATCATGGGCTATCCACAAAGCTTATTGATCATGAAAAAGATTATCCTGGGAGCCATATCAAACATGATTCATAATTGACATTCAGTAGATCTCAAGCTTAACCAAAGCCTTTCATAAAATGAATACACCTTTTATCTTATCATCATCATAATCACATGTACTTCATGGTTATCATCTGCTAACACAGAACTTGTGTTGTATTGCCACTAATGTGCTTCACATTAGGAAACAGTCATATCACATTTATCTATCACCCTAAATCTTGTTACAGTCTAGATCATTCTATAAAATTACCATATCTTAAAATAATCCTCTCATTCAACTTAAGATTCAAGTCTAATTGCACCAACGAATTTTCTAACAAGACACTCATAATACCTTGTGCGGCTCATGTTACAGATCTCGGTATAGCTCTCACTTCCAGCAAGACATTGTTTGCACTGAATCTAAACTCACTGTAAAAAATATGATATTTAAATTAGAATGATAATTTGATTATCCGGAAATGTGGTAAAATCCACAGCTCTCATCATTTTGAGATGGAAAAAAAAAATTCTTGGTAGAAGTGATAATGAATGAGAAGTGGGAACCTTACTGAGGAGTTCGGGAAAGGTGAAAATGTCGCTTGATAAGTGATATGGAAAGGAGGCTACCTACACTTCATCACCTGAAATAATACGTCATCTTCAAGGAGCAGATGACAGGATATCAGCTTTTCTTCTCAGCAGCTGGGTTTCCTAGGAGGGTTCAAATGTAGGAGCAGAGGAACAAGTTGCTGAACACATCCTCAACGTTTCTGCCAGATCATTAGCTACAGGGAACTAACAGGCAGTAGGGACTGGGTGTTGGCTTGGTGGAGACTCGAGGATCTAGACTGAACTGGGTATATAATCCAAAACAAAATCTGGGTTACAGATGAAAATATTTGCACTCTCAGGTCTTTCTTAAGGCCATTGTCTGACTTATACATGAGCAATGAAGTTGGAGAGTAACAAGAAAGTTGTGGCCTTAAGCAATGGAAGTTGCATATTAGATTGTCAAACATATACAAAACAGGTCTGACTTGAATGCACTGTACCCCTTCTTCAGTGATTGTCACAAATTTTGTTTAAGTTTACATACCCATCCCAATTCAAAGAGACTCAGGGAAAAAATCAGCCACCAAAAGTTGAAGCTTAACTTACAATGTCTTTTAGTCAAGTACAGTAATATAAATTTTGGGAAGTCCAGGACTTTTAAGTAAACATGATGACATCTAACTATGAATTACCCACTCAGACTTATGGAGTTTACCATTTACAAATTTACAATGGGGATATGAGGGAGAGCTTAACTACATTCCTCTGACATGGCTAAAAGAGTTATAATGTAAACAATGAATATTTCACATTTGTTCTTAGTTAAGAAGAAAAGCAACTCCAAGAGAGTCAATGAATTAAGGATTTTTATTTATAAGTGAAGCTTCAACATTTGTAGGCTGAGTTAAAGCACTCAGTTTCCCATCTGTAGAGTGCCACCAGGAGATACATCTCACATTGTTACATTACAACTTGAATATACAAAAGCCATTTTTAATTTTAAGAAGCACACATTGTGTGGCTTAGCAATCTAATTAATAATGCTTCATTTACAGCACGAGAAATTACAAAAACATTCCGAGTTTTTTTCCTTCATAAAAAGGTGTGTTTGTTGAAAAAAACACATTTGATGTGAGTATTTCTGTTAAATTTTTAAATGTATGCACACAAACTCTCAAATGGCCTGCAATATGAATTAAAATTTAGAATGGCATAATTCAAGCAATCAAGTAAACTTGTGTTGTATGGAGATTTAAGTGTTCACAATGTCTCCAATATTAGATAATGTAGTGTACTTTAAAACTTCTTGAATGCTACAGAATATACCTTTTATAACTGGCAGCTTACAAAGATAAAAAAAGCATTAATATAGACTAAATACTGTAATGTACTGTACTGGGTGAGCATCAGAAGTAAAGACTGTTGCTGAGGGACTGAGGAATGACCTGTACATTAAACGAGATCCTGATGATGAAGGTATATCTTGCTTGCCACTCTTGGTACATTGTACTAACACACATTGACACAAGCCTTCATCATAAAAATCTGACTCATTTAGGTGCATGCCAAGGAAATTATGATTAGGAGAGTGGTCAACTCAAAATCAAGTTGGATAAAATGACCTGATATAATCTCTTTATCAATTATATGTGTTCAGTTTTATCACAAGAGAAAGAGAGGAGATGTGTGATGCTCCTGGTGGCTTGTCTCACACAATGTTGTTGCTCTACAGGTGTGAACATTCCTGTACATCTTCAATAAAGCTATTATTACTGGTTGATAATTGTATTGCTAATCACAGCTCTGCCTTATATTACAACTATAAAACATCTTTTATAAACTTTTCAACCTATATACATCCATCACAATAACATTGTAATTCATATATTTTACTGTATTGATATATAATTAATTGACATACACTATAAGATATAATGTTATACATAAGATTAATGCAACTAACTGCTATTATGCATTACCCAGAAGAGACAATGAAGACCTATAACCAATAAATAATGAGAATGTGACTAGGATGTGTTTATGAATCTTAAGAGAAGCTGGGATGAACATCTCTGCTACCTGTCACTACTTACAGCAACTCAAGACCAATAACTTACAGAATCCTCCTAAGCTCTCTCATGATATCATTCATACTTCATTTTCATTACCACCATAAGTTCTGAGGCCAGGACACATTACGAAGTTTCATATAAAACATAGGTAACTTCATATACATCTGAGATATATATATATATATATATATATATATATATATATATATATATATATATATATATATATATATATATATATATATATATATATATATATATATATATATATATATATATATATATATATTTCATGTAGATCCACAATGAAAATGTGGATAAGATAAATCTTGATAAAATCACACGGGAAAAGGTAAACAACGGAGCACCTTAGCTTTCGTCTTTATTCAAGATGTCTGAAGATGTCTTGAATAAAGACGAAAGCTAAGGTGCTCCGTTGTTTCCCTTTCCATTTGTGATTTTATCTATTATATATATATATATATATATTTATTTGGCAACACTTTTGATAATGTATCATCTGGCATATAGCACAGTGCTCAACTATATCATCTGAGAACATTATGAGCAGCTTGTTTTTGGTATTCACTAGCGTGGATGGCACATGATCCCTACTAGCACGGTCCAACTTGCCTGGTCCCTACTAGCACGGTGTCCACTATCACTAGGACTCAGGCCCTGGGTGCCGAGATTTGTTCCGTCCTCGAATGTAACATCTTTGTCCTGCAGGCAACCGGTTTGTTCTGGACTGTGGTCGAGGGTCACCTAGTTGTAAGCCAATGGTTGTAGATGGCCGAGGTTGAACTGGCTCAGGCCGGGAAGGCCACAGCTGATTACTGTCTGGCTGTGAAACCCACGCTTGGCTACCATCAAAATGGCAGGGCCAGAGTTGGGTACCCTCACACCTGGGAGGGTATGGATGTTTATCTTTACGTTTGGGAGGCAGTGGCTGGCTAGTTTCAGCTTGGAAACGCTGTATATCTCTATTTTTAGTGGCGGGAGACTGAACTGATGAATCTGTGATCACTTCTGCCCTCAGTTCACTTAGGGAGCTAAAAGGTTGTGCAGAATTTGCCAATTCATTTAGAGAAGAACAAAGTTGGGATGAAAGAGGTGCAGACAGTGGTGTAGGTGAAGTGTAAGAGGAGTGGGGGGAATCTGTTGAACTTGATGAACAATTAGAGGTGTTTGGAGGGGTCTTAAATAAAACATTGCCTGATTCACTGATTGGGGAAGACAATAGAGGAGATGGAGAGGAAGATTGAGGTAAAATTGTGGCAGACAGGCCAGACATTCCTTCACTCCCTGGTGATGAGTCAAGTGAGGGTATCTCAGGAGGCCCACCCTCTAAAGTGAAGGAATCACTACTTGAAGCTAGTGTGGCATCATCATCTTCATCAGCAAATACATGAGGTGGGGGTGGAGCAACCTGTGGAAGGGGGCTGTGAACTTGGGTGTTGTCTTTTGCTGTAGAAGGCCCAGAAGTGAGAGTTGCTAGAGGGGAAGGTCCTGAAGACAAGCGTGATGCAACGGATACTTCCTCACTGGAGCAAACCGAGCATGATGTGGAGTCCATATCTAGTCGTCCACCTAACTCTGGTACATTATCAAAGCTTGCCATCAACGTCTGCGTGAGAGAATCGTCCAGGCTTACCTTGCGTCCTCCTCCACTACTAAACTCTCGACGATTACACCATCGAGATTGACGAAGAGCTCGTTGTGTTGCAGGGCTACCTCGCTCTTGGAGAAGTGGAGAATTTGGTCCTTGTGTAAGACTATCACTTCCACTTATGTCATCATCCCCTTCAAAGCTTCCAGCCAAAGGTGCTTCATTTTTAAACCTCTTGTAATTTTCTTTTTCTACCTGTGGTTGAGTTGGTGTGCTGGATCTGGGTCGTGCCCCCCCAGAGTGGGGGCTAGGGGGCTTTTGTCTTAAATCCGTGATGGATACTTTATCTACTGGCTCATCAGGTGAAGGACGCTTCAAATTGGGGTTATATAAATCTTCGTGGGTAAATGGTGGCAGCTGTGAAGTAGGTGCCTCGCCTTCTACTTCAAAACCCTGGCCATTGATATTAATACTGGGGATGTTCAAAGACGTATTATCTACCCGGATATCAGGAAGACCGGGTGTCACTGGTGGAGAAGCTGTCAAATAAAGGGATACACACAAAAGCGATAAACAACCATTCTTTCATTTATAAGTACAGTAAAGCCTCGAATAACTACAGTATGTGTCCTCCAATATTGCAGTGTAAGGTGAATCATCGTATCACGAATCATTAATTACCATTAAAATAAAGCAATAATAATGAGATGCGTTCCCAAGTGTGGCATTTTCATATCTTTTGTGTGGCTTTTTACCCTCTTTTCCCCCCAAAACAATACAATTAATGAAAATTGCAAACTATATTCTTTAAATAATGTTTCTGAATGCACCTTATACAATATGAATGAATAATAATATGGTCACACAAGAGGAGATGGGACGCCATTGTTTTCATTTGTGGTTACAGCCGGGAGTCTGGGACGATAGTTCTACATGAGAAAATGAAGAAATTAAGACCCTGGTTGTAGCTTTAGTAAAATTAATGTAAAAAAATGAATATATATGTTTTAAGTATCGTTATTTAATGTTAATAAATGGAGCAATAGAGGTAGCTAACCACTAATGGCAAAGAAAAAAAAAAAAAGAGATGGATTGGGAACACCAACATAAACGTGCGCATTTAAGGAAATCGCGTCATTTATCTTTTTAAGAATATGTACAAAAGAATCATTATTGTTTATTACTGAATATGTACAGCATTTGATTGAATTAATCTTTATAGATGCGAAATGAACACTACAATTCATTAATAATACGTAGAATATTAAAACACACAAGAGGATAGAGACGGCATTGCTGTCAGTATAATTTCAGTTATCCTCCTGAAACTGAAGAAAATAAGACCCTGGTTGTTGTTGTAGTAAAATTAATTTAACAAAATATGTATGATTTAATTAATGTTATTTAATGTACAGTAGAAGTAACCACTAATGTTGAAGAAAAAGTGAGACTGATAGTGGAGCGCCAATGTATACAGTACGTGCTCACTCAAGGAAGCATAGTCATTTATCTTAAGAATATGTACAAAAGATTCATTATTGTTTATTATTGAATATGTATTTGATTGAATTAATGTTTATATATGTGAAATGAACAATGCAATTCATTAATAATACGTAGAATATTAAAACACACAAGGAGACAAGACGGCATTGTTTTTGTGAGTGACGATGGTTCTACATAAGAAACCAAAGAAAATAAAACCCTGGTTGTAGCTGTAGTGAACTTAATTTAAAAAAACTGAATACCCTATGTGTGTTTTAAGTAATGTTATTTAATGTTAATAAATGGAACACTAGAAGTAGCTAACCGCTAATGGTAAAGAAATAAAGCGAGACGATTGGGAACGCCAACGTATGAACATTAAGTGCGTACACGTGAAAACATATTGTCATTTCTCTACATATGAATATGAATGCAACACTTATTTACTGTTCATATATGTTTTAAATCATATTTATGAATGTAAAACAAAAATTCTACACACCAATAGTGGTAAAGTCTAAAACATAAGGACAGCCAATGAATATTGTGAGTTTTTACTCAGATGACGAAGTCATCAGGTTTAACTCTGGCTGAAGCTGTAGCTTTCCATAAAGCTGTTACTGAACATGAAATTGATGTTGAAGCTGCTTATGATACTGAATTTGATGGTGTAGCTGAAGTTGATGGTTTAGGCCTTCGAATAATAGAGCTGTCAAAAGTACCTTGCAACAACCGGTCCGACTAATTACCCAAATGTACCCAAATATAGCCGCAATGAAGTCAAAAAATGGTCCTACATGAATAAATCGGACTGCTAATCACTTCTCGACTAGTGTAGCCGCAATGAAGTCAAATGATGGTCGTACGAGCGTAATTCAGGCTGTGAATCACTTCTCGATTATTATTTGGTGCCATAAAGTAAAAAAAAATTGGTAAACTTAATTTAATCTGAGTTGTGTTGGGTTAGATTAAGTTAGGTACATGCACTTGATCTATTAACTCAGATTAAATTAAGTTTACCAATTTTTTGTGACTTTGTGACACCAAATACTAGTCGAGAAGTGATTAGCAGTCCGATTTATTCATCTAGGACCATTATTTGACTTCATTCCGGCTATATTTGGGTACATTTGGGTAATTAGTCGGACCCTGCACAGCTGCTTTCTTTTCTCATTATACATCTTTATGTAGAAGTCATTTGCATTTATTTAAATTTTAATGTTTTGTTCTGTTAATGGATCTACAGTACTTCAGAAAATATGTTCATTGCTTGCTCCATATAATATCCACAGACCTCTCACCTTTTTCATATCGTTTTAACACATCTAGTTTCTTGGCTAAGCTTATACACTTACTATTAGCTTTTGAAACATCACTACCATCACTTGTTCTCTTGCTCATGTTGAATTGGGATGCAAAAATGTTGTAAGAAAGCTGAAAGTGTTTCTCCTGTTCCTGTTCCAGATGCGTGGAAACATAAGGCCCGCCAAGCTGAGACTGTTGTTTACCACTCTATTAGCAAGGCGCTCTTCATTCTTTTTTACATTTTTTTTTATATACATATCGGGATTTAGTTATTATTTATATGAAAATGCAATTTTATTTTATTATTCATTATATTTTGGTCGTAAATACGAATGAAATAAGGACGTAAATTGAATTTGGTCCTAAATTAACTAGGGTCTTAAATATGAAAAGTTGTTGGTCGAACTGTTGTTATTGGAGGCTTTACTGTACAGTACAGTATAATTATACAGTATACTGTATTATGCACACACACGTGTGCACATGAATGCATACACAAACACCCTAAATTTAAAAGTATTCCCTGAATAACTAAATTTTCTCGTTTCAAAAAATTTGAATTTGGAAAAAATAATTTGTTTCCTCTTATTCACAATACCTGTACACCACACCTTAAGTATTTACACAAACTTTTTATGTTTTGGGGTAATAAAATTGTGTCTCCAAATATTGCCACTAGTAATGTGAAGCTTTAGAGAAAAAAAAATCATTGACCTTACAAATGGTGAAATTGCCACAAAAGATTCAATTACTCATACAGGTATTTAAAAACAATATTGACATTTTTATCATTTCCATCTGAATAAAAAGGATAGAATCTTTTAAGAAAAACTTATTTGTTGCACCTTTCAGTATAGTCATCAATATCAGTCATCTCCCTTAACCTAACACTCCCACACAGTCATCATTATCAACTCCCACACAGTCATCATCACTATCAACTCCCACACAGTCATCATTATCAACTCCCACACAGTCATCATAACTATCAACTCCCACACAGTCATCATAACTATGAACTCCCACACAGTCATCATTATCAACTCCCACACAGTCATCATTATCAACTCTCACACAGTCATCATAACTCTCCCACAGTCATCATATCCTGATCATCACATCAACACTCAGTCATCGTCATCATAACTATCAACTCACACAGTCACACAACTCCCACACAGTCATCACTATCAACTCACACAGTCATCACAGTCATCACTATCAACTCTCACACAGTCATCACTATCAATCTCTCACAGTCATCATCACTATCCCCACAGTCAGTCATCATATCGTCATCACTATCAACTCCCACACAGTCATCACTATCAACTCCCCACACAGTCATCACTATCAACTCTCACACAGTCATCATCATCACACAGTCATCACATCAACTCCACACAGTCATCATCAGTCATCACTCCCACAGTCATCACTATCAACTCCACACAGTCATCACTATCAACTCCTACAGTCATCACTATCAACTCTCACACAGTCATCATTATCAACTCTCACACAGTCATCACTATCACCTCTCATCACTCTCACACAGTCATCATCCCCACACAGTCATCTCACTATCAACTCTCACTCCCACACAGTCATCATCACTATCAACTCTCACATACTCCCACACAGTCATCATCATATCAACTCTCATACTCCCACACAGTCATCATCACTATCAACTCTCACATACCCCACACAGTCATCATCACTATCAACTCTCCCATACTCCCACACAGTCATCACTATCAACTCTCACATACTCCCACACAGTCATCATCACTATCAACTCTCACATGCTCCCACAGTCATCATCACTATCAACTCTCCATACTCCCACACAGTCATCATCACTATCAACTCCCACATATCCCACACAGTCATCATCACTATCAACTCCCCACATCACACACATCACACATCACATCAGTCATCATCACTATCAACTCCCACATAGTCCCACACAGTCATCACTCATCAACTCTCACACAGTCATCATCACTATCAACTCCCCACCACACAGTCATCATCACTATCAACTCTCACATACACACTCCCACACAGTCATCATCACACACATCAACTCCCACAGTCATCATATCAACTCTCATCACTATCACTCTCCACACAGTCATCACTCATCAACCTCACACAGTCACTCCTCACACAGTCATCATCACTATCAACTCTCACATACTCACCGTCATCATCACTATCAACTCTCACATGTCATCATCACCATCAACACAGTCATCATCACTATCAACTCTCCCATACACACAGTCATCATCACTATCAGTCATCATCACTATCAACTCTCCCACACACAGTCACTCACAGTCATCATCACTATCAACTCCACATACTCCCACACAGTCATCATCACTATCAACTCTCCCATCCTGACACTCATATCATCACTATCACACTCATCATCATGCTCCACACAAACATCATCATCTATCAACTCCCCACATCTCCCACACAGTCATCATCACTATCAACTCACATAGTCCCACACAGTCATCATCACTATCAACATCACTAGTCACACAGTCCCACATCAGTCATCATCACTATCAACTCCATACTCCCACACAGTCATCATCACTATCAACTCCCCATACTCCCACACAGTCATCATCACTATCAACTCATACTCCCACACAGTCATCATCACTATCAACTCTACCCATCAGTCCACACAGTCATCATCACTATCAACTCCACATACTCCCACACAGTCATCATCACTATCAACTCCCACATAGTCCCACACAGTCATCATCACTATCGCTCACACATGGTCATCATCACTATCAACTCCCATACAGTCATTCATCACTATCAACTCCCACATACTCCCACACAGTCATCATCACTATCAACTCCCACATACTCCCACACAGTCATCATCACTATCAACTCCCACATACTCCCACACAGTCATCATCACTATCAACTCCCACATACTCCCACACAGTCATCATCACTATCAACTCCCACATAGTCCCACACAGTCATCATCACTATCAACTCCCACATAGTCCCACACAGTCATCATCACTATCAACTCCCACATACTCCCACACAGTCATCATCACTATCAACTCCCACATACTCCCACACAGTCATCATCACTATCAACTCCCACATACTCCCACACAGTCATCATCACTATCAACTCCCACATACTCCCACACAGTCATCATCACTATCAACTCCCACATACTCCCACACAGTCATCATCACTATCAACTCCCACATACTCCCACACAGTCATCATCACTATCAACTCCCACATACTCCCACACAGTCATCATCACTATCAACTCCCACATAGTCCCACACAGTCATCATCACTATCAACTCCCACATAGTCCCACACAGTCATCATCACTATCAACTCCCACATACTCCCACACAGTCATCATCACTATCAACTCCCACATAGTCCCACACAGTCATCATCACTATCAACTCCCACATACTCCCACACAGTCATCATCACTATCAACTCCCACATAGTCCCACACAGTCATCATCACTATCAACTCCCACATACTCCCACACAGTCATCAATATCATAATGTCCTTCATAATTCTGTATTTCTCTCTTATTTTAGCGTCCTGACCTTATCCTCTCCCTTGTTCCTATACTTCAACTAAATGAGGTATAAGAGGTTTGCATATATCACCTATGACTGGGGCTACAACTTTCCTACAAGATTCCATTTTACAGTGACTAGGTTTGTACTTAAGAACTTCTTTTAGCTGGTTCTTACAACACAGTGGAAATAGAGAGGATCTGCTCCTTAAGGAACAATTTCTATAGTGTTATATCTACACCTCCAAAATCTCCATTGACTGAATTCATGTACTGTAGTAATGATAGGCTCAAAATCCCAACAAACACACAAAGTGAAATCTTTAGTTCAAGAAATATAAGTGGGAATAACATTATTTTAGATAATAGAGGTACAGGTAATGGTAAAACACATATATTAATATAGTTTAACTGAGAGAATGTATAGGGTGGGTGATACATTAACATGCTCAAAAGAGTAAGCACAAGAGTGGGGTGTGCAGGAAGTGGGACACCCAAGCTCACCATTGTCTCGTGATGATGGCTCCATCATCTCTCTCTGGCCACGGAAAGTGAAGTTGGAGGGAAGTGATGACATCTTATTCAATGGCTTATGGAAGTACTTACTGCAGTTGAATTTGGCTTTGACGGTCTCATTCACATCCTGAAATATACTTATATCCATTAGTCACAACATTCGTGGGCAATATTTGAAAAACAAAAGAATACAAAAAAATGCATATTTCAGCAATAAGCTTTACCCTGTACACACAAGATAAGGTCCTCTTGCCATCAACAAAGGCAGCAGCTCCCTACACTTCCTCCAGTCACTTCTGACTTACAACTGAACTAGCTTCAGCACCACCTCCAGGGCTGATCATGTCACCCGGGTAGCAGAACTCAACAATACAGTCAAGGAATATATCCCCAGTGTTCAGTCTCTCCAGCCTTGCTAATGCCACATGCTTATCCGTGCATGCAGAACACTTAAAATTAACAACACCCTGCAGTCGACCACAGTATTTACACCACTGCACCTATTGTATACCCACCTCCCACACTCACTGCACATTACTGAGTTGCTGCCAACACCTTTCTTAAATACAGCATGTAGCCATTTTCCACTTTCCACCTACACCAATAATCATTATGGTATCTTTGTGTTTTCCACATTCACTCTCATACCCTGTAACTCCATTTCTTTCATATTTTCCTTTACCATATCTGTTATCAGCACTAAATTGTCAGCATACAACAACTCAAGGATAGATCAGTTCTAAAATCCCATGATAGTGTCTCTATCACATGATAAACAAAATGGGCTTCAGCCAGACCCTTGATAGATCCCTACTTTCACCTCAAATTCCTCACAAATTTACTCTCCCAGTGGTTCTTGAGACCTCATACATCTCCCAGTGGTTCTTGAGACCTCATACATCTCCCAGTGGTTCTTGAGACCTCATACATTTTTTTCATTGCCCATTACACTACGTGAAGTTAAAGAAGGTATCAGTACAGAACTTTGAAAGAGTTAACTTTTTGGAAAAAGAGCTGTAAACTCTTGGAATAACATGCCAGAGAATGTAGTGAAAACACCAAGTGTGAGCTCATGCAAGTCCAGACTTGACAACAGTGGAACATGTTCAGGTAGTATTGCTAACAGTGCCAGCTGGGTAGTAAGCTAACAAGTGACAAAGAGGATAAAGCAGCTAAGACCTATATATATTAGTGACTACCTCGATGAACAATATATGCTCTTGGGGTCATGGACTGTTTGGCAATAGGGATTATTTCATCACTTCCTTAGTGGTGACTTTACCAATTAAAGCTCACATGTGCAACCATCCACGCTATTAGCTATGTATCAATTCCAGCCTCTAATGTCAAGGATTAACATGAGATGCCAAACTGCAGACTTGGCTGTTGTTTGAGTAACCTAATCCAGGCTCCTTTTATATAAAGGGATTTTAGATAAATATCCTATTCCTTCACTTGTCTGCATTTCATTAAGGTTTTATATGTCACACTGTCTAACAATACCTTCTCACAAATCCCTTACCTTTGCAGTCTGTTGTGCTAACTTTTGGTTTGCAATGTTCTCCTGCATCTCGGCCATTTCTTCCTCCTCTTGTGCTAGCTGCCTCTCAATCTCCACTTCTAAGTCATATTCATCCTCCATCTGCAGTAAGTGTGAGAGTCTTAGCATACAGAAGAAGAAAATGATAGTGAGAGCTGTTTAGTTCAGGGTGCACAGTGCAGAGTGTGAAGCAGCAGAGTGCATGGTGGTGCAAACAGTTAACCCACACGCCAATGGCTGCTCTGCCCTCTGTGGGTCATAGCTAGTTATGAAATCTGCTGTTTCCAGTAAGCAACACTGACTACTGTACATTTCCATCTGCTTCCTGGAGCAAAAAGAGACTATGCCTGAGAGCGTATCAAGTGAGCACTCTTATGGCTATTTTAATCCCTGTAATCTACCAGCCTGGATATATTCTCTATCCATTGTTGTAAATGTTAATGCCTAATAAAGAATTTTAATCTAACCAACATTATAAACTGCTTAGTGTGAATCCCAAACACTGCTTCAAGTATCATACAATACACTTTTCTGATGGCAAACCACTGCTCTCAGATAAATCTTCATGGAGTTGAGCTGAGCTTCAAAGGGCCATTAATGCCACTAAATAACAGTAACCAGTTTACAGTATCAGAGGATGAATACATTTCATTATTATCGCAAAACAAAAAACTCTGTCTTCCTTTACTTCACTGTTCTGAAAGATTTTAAAGTAATATTAAGAGCAGTATCTTACATGCTTATTACAACAAAATGTTACTACTGTTAAAGCTTGTTTAACTTTAAATGTTGTATTATTGAAGAAACATGAAATGCAGGTTGTGTTATATGTATCATCATTCTCATGAAAAAAATTAATATTAAAATAGGTATTAGGGTAATGAAAAAACATTTTCAAACACACAATAACACAACTGCCATTGAACCAAGGAACATTTGGCCATGGCTCATTGTCTTATGTGAAGAGGAAGTAAAATTCCAAAATGAAATATCTTAAAAAAACAAAAAAAAACAAAAGTGCTCAAGGAGAAGAGCACAAAAATAATTGCAACTTGGGGAAACAAAATTACCCAAACATGTGGCATAATGAGCAATGACCCACAACTCTCAAGGTCCTATGGGTTGATAAACATTCCTCTTATTGTTCTGTATCAAAATGCTACTGGGTAAATCTTAAATGTATGCAAATCATAAATTTTTTTAAACATTTGTTAGTTCAATTCACCACAAGAATATTAATCTAGAAAGATTAATGATATAAATCTTTAATGACAGAAAATTGGAATTAATAGACTACAGCATACTGAAAATGTTGCCAATGAACAATGTCAATAGAGTAGAGTGCTGTGTGGACTCATGGCGGGCAGTTCTACACTGTTCACTCTCAGTGCTCAAAAGTACTTCACCAGAACAGACAGATTAACACTGGCACACTATGCTAACTACTCAAGTTCCTAATATTCTCTCTAAGAATTGTTCTGCAAATGCTTCATAAAATAATACAGCAATATGAGTTTACTAATGCACAGAACTATAAAACACATGATCCCTCGTCAAACTACAACAAACAGGCGACGTGATGTTCGCTGTATGGAACCGTTGCTCATCTTGCCTGCCACCCGCCAAGAAAACACACCGCAAATCTACTCAGGAAACAAGGGCGGACACAAAGACCAATCAGAAATAACTCAATCTAAAGAACACAATAGCTGTATGATTTAGTAGGAAATTATAATGTCATCTAATGTGCACAGTTGTCAAACCCTCACTAATCTGTGCTAGTCAATGCCACACACTCCATGTTGGACTAGAGGAGGGAGTGTTATGAAGAGGTCATACTAGTGCTCCAATCTCATTCTTAGGAGTTTACTATTGTTGTTTGCTGCAGGTAAGTCATATACAAAACTGGGATATGTACTTAAAGCTTCATGGACAAAAAAAAAAATTCTAATGTATTTTACTGTTATTTGTGCAAGACAAAATTTTATACATAACTGGTTGGCAATTCTTAAAAGAAAGGCAAAAAAGGCCAAAATATATGTGAAATACATCATTCTGAATTATGTCCAAAAACTAATTGGTCAAGTGTGGCAAAGACGACACTTGCTTAAAACAGTTTTAAATACATTGTTTACTAAAATATTATCACTGGGAAAAAGAGATCATGGACTGGAGCACGAGGAAGAATGACCCTGTGAAGTATGTTAAGAGTCTGAGGACAAAAGGATGGGTGGGGGAAGGGGCAAACACGTGCACCAGATTAGTGAGGGCGATCAGCCGGTTTGTCTTTACCCTGAGCAGCCGAGCAAACTCCGCCTCCTCTTCCTCCTGAAATCAGAATGTTTGGAAAAAATCAAGACATGGCATATATGCCGCATAGTGCAGTGGCCCTGGCGACCGTCATCACCGCGGGTTGGGGCACTACGCCTACACACATGCACATGCGCAATCACATGCCTCCTCACCTGCATGTGTACCCTCAATACATATTTAATCAGACTATCATACAGTTACAACCTACCTTTGTCACATATACACAACAGTGATCCACATACAAATCCTTCACTTCCAAATACAAATAAATCATTATAGTACCTGTACATCATTATACATATTGGTAAATGCTGACAAGCTCAGGTATACAAGCATCCTCACTCAGTCACATGCAAATATTCTTGAAGATACACTTTTCAAGAACTTCAGTCAGCAATCATCAGTTAGCAGGTATCAATTGGTGCTGGTGCTTTGCAGGTCATCTTATAGTGTCACTGCCTATTTCACTAAATCAGTGCACACTGAACCAAGTTAGTAAAAAAATAATAAAAAATAAAAGAAAGGTAAAATATTCTATCATACACATATATATATACATATATATATATATATATATATATATATATATATATATATATATATATATATATATATATATATATATATATATATATATATATATATATATATATATATATATATATATATATATATATACAGGTATATATAAGAACCTCCATACTTTCATACACACAATCATTATAGTATGCACATTTTATATAATGAAATTTACAGAAGGCTATAATGTAATAAAGGACAAGAATAATACAAAGTCTAAGGCCAATACCAGATAAAACATGAGTGCAAATTGTAGGTTTGCAAACCAGTAAGTTTTACTGTTGTTTTTAATCTTTTAATACAGACAAGAACAACCTAAGAGCTACTGACTATTTACCCTGATGTTGTTATGTGGTACTGAGGGGCGACTATATCCTGTCTCTACTGAGAAAACACACTATATCACTGATGAGGTGGAGGGCTGAGTGACCAGCACAAAAACAGTGTTAGTTAGCTTATTTTACAAGGTTTAAGAGACAGGCACTGCAGCAAAGCCCTCAAGAATTATTAGACAAAATTTTCCAGTGGAGGAGAGAGAAGTTACACTCAAGGCATCAGAAGGAATTTTTGGTTAAGGGCGAAAAATCTTGTGTTTGGTGGAAGTAGAATGTAAAGTAAAAAATATAATTCAGTGTTTTATGTAATGAATTTGATGACGGGACTTCATATGAGCTAGAGGGTAGCGTGTTGTGTGGGTTGGTGGGTGTGACTGTGTGGGTTGGTGGGTGTGACTGTGTGGGTTGGTGGGTGTGACTGTGTGGGTTGGTGAGTGTGACTGTGTGGATTGGTGGGTGTGACTGTGTGGATTGGTGGGTGTGACTGTGTGGGTTGGTGGGTGTGACTGTGTGGGTTGGTGGGTGTGACTGTGTGGGTTGGTGGGTGTGACTATGTGTGGGATGGTAGGCAGGAACTGACATGGGCTGGTGGGCATGGGCAGGACTATATATGGGGTAGTGGGTAAAATTTTGTGTGGGTTAATGAACAGGACTTTATATGGAGTGGTAGGCAGGACTTTGTGTCAGTTAATGAGCTATAGTTTGTGTTGAGACAGGACTTTGTGGTGGTATAGTTAGTAAAAGTTGTATCACTATAGTAATGTCATTACACAGAAGCGAAAAGACCATCCCTGTATGGTTCTTGCTGTAAGGCTTATGGTCACACTCTCTATGCTATGTTTATTTTAAATTTAATTACTATGGAAAACCTTTGAAGATTAATATGCAGATAAAACTCCTTCAGTACTTTCAGCATCAGAATGGGTAAAATGCTTTGTTGTAATCTACAAAAAAAGTCACACAAAAATATTAATGCATTTCTTCGGACAGACTATTCACTCAAAGTTTCAATTGGTAGTCACCGAGATCAGTTGTAATGGCTGAAGAGTGGTGTTGCTGTGTTCAGAAGGGAAATTCTTGTGTGATGTGATGCAAGATTTACAGATGTGGTGCAATATTTACAGCTGTTTTACAGGGCTAGCACACCTATGTACCACTTGAGCCCGTGCCTTGAAGTGAAACTCGAAGAAACTGGGTAGCAGAGTTACAGTAGATAACCTGTCTGTTCACCTTAGTCTTCGATTTTGATTCAATAATGATAATATCACATGCATTATGTTTATGAGTTGGGGGATACCAGTACATCCTCTATCAGTTGTTATACAATCAACCACAGGAAAGGCACAAATCAGGAAATACCTGTCTGCAGGCCAATATCTTGTGCCAAATTTTCTGATACTGCATAAAGTCTCCTTTTTGAGCTTGGTTTTTAGGTACTAAAATAATTAACATTAGTTACTACTGTACAGGCTGACTTGTTCCAAACTTTCCACATACCTTCGCAAGCGGTTCTTTTTATTTTTAATTTGATAAATGTGAGATCAAGCTACTTATGTTGCAAAGTGCAAGAAGTGTTCTTTCTACAGATTCCAACAATTATTCTTCACTACTGGTACACTAGTATGATTTTTTCCACAATTTCAACAGTTCAAAACCATCATCATCACAGCTATTAAATTTGTTCTAGATATTCTTAACGGGAATGTTTCTTTATGGTACCTGTTCTTTTTGCCTCCAAAGATATTGAGTCCTCCTGGGTTTCCTCTTCTTCAAAATCTTTATTTCTGTCAGAGTTTCTGTTCAATCTTTTGGATGGAAAAATTTCTTCTTCACACTTTCCTTCATCCATACTGCTGTTCTGTCTCTCAGTTTGCCCATCCCACATATGTCTGTTGCTAATTTCTCCATCCTTAGATTGTTTGAAGGTGCCTTTTCCCTTACTAATGTCTTCAATTACTGGTCCTTGTTCTAAGCTTTCTGCATCTTGCAATTTTTGTTTTTGGTGAAATTTTCCTCTTGGGCGAGCATTAAATTTACCGTAGATATATTTCCACCATCGTGACTTCAAGCTTTGAAACATCAAATGAACTGAGAACCTTGTGATTTTGTTCTGTTCATCTTTATCACTTGTTTCATCTGCTTGTGTTACTACTTCACATTCTTTATTCTCGTCAACAACAAAGGACACTTTTGATATTGTCTTCTTTCTAACAACTTCATCACACTCATCATTTCCCTTACCCAGAAACTTTACCCATAGTATGGGTGAGTGAGAGTCTTCAGAGTGTCCTAAATCCTCTATTTTATTTGAATTTATTTCTAAATCAGATTCTTTTATATCAAGTTCCCTAAAATTTTCTACACTAGACTCCAGACAATTGGAGAAACTTAAGCTTTCACTTGACACACTAAATTTTCCAAGTACATGTTTCTCTCCACATTCTGTATCAGAAAATATTGTTTTTTCTGAGACAACTCCACACTGAATTCCATTAAATGTGTTGGGCTCATCGATAGTGCAAGAGCTATTGGATCTTTTTAAACATTTTGAATTAACCGTATCAAAATGCATGTTCAACTTCCTACAAACATTTGGATTTTGCTCTATGGTAACAATGCAATCACTGTCCATATTCTCTTTATTTGGTTGATGAACAGATTTGCTCTTTTCAATGGAAGAGTCACTAAATTGTTTTTCCAAATGACTATTATCAAAATATCCCCTGTTCTCTTCAAACCTTTCTTCAATGTTCTCATTATCAGAAGAGTCCAAAAGCTTGCTGCCTATATCCAAACTAAGATTATCATCTGTACTAGAATTCATTAAATCATCAGCAGAGTTGGAAGATACATCTAAGGAGTCATCTGAAGTTGTTGTATCATCAGTCTTGCATGTGCCATCTTTACCCTTAGCATCTGGTGGCTAATGACCAGACAAAGAGGAGTCAGGCACCATTTTGTAAAAGAAAGATTCAATAGAAAATACAGCCAAGAGTAATAAATGAGAAAAGGGAATAAGATCTTTGCTTCAGTAAGTTGGAAATATTGCAGAAATAAAATAGCATAACAATATGAACAAGTTGGAAATACTTGTAAGTTAAAAGTGAAAAATAGTGCAGACTAAGAAAAAAGGACAAGAATTGTGAAGAGCTGTTACAACTGTGTACAGCTTTTTAGAATAATAAAAGTAATATTATAGCTTACAATACTAATGAATGTAGCAACCTGGCTGAGAATATAGTCCTTAAGGGACTTACATGCAAAAAAAAAAAGCAGAGTAATAGTATATCCTTGAATAAAGTTTCCGAGACAAGAAATTTCACTTGATCTTATACGCTGCATGCAAAAAAATCCTGGCATGTGTCACAACAACACCAAGATATATAAAATCATAAGAATATAAGACCTTCCTTTTGAGGTATGGTATACATAATCCATGGTAAAAATGGCCGAGTTCCCCCTAAAGAAAAAGATTCGTCTCGAATGAGAGCCAGCGGCAGTGAGGGGTGTAGTGACTATGCTAAAGTAAGCCATACATACCAGTTTGTGACTCTCCTCCAGGTGCTTCATGAGTACAGCCACCACCACATTGACTAACACAAACTGTGCCATCAATACAAACACAACGAAGAAGATAGGAGCCACAAAAGGGTAGAGGCAGCAGTTCTTGACACAATCTGGCCTGCTGTCACACTTGTCCCGAAGTGTGTCCTGTAAATAATACAATTGTACCTGGACTCACTCTGTACACAAGCAGTTAATACATCAATAAACATAAATTAAAATGTCAATTACAATATCTATCTTTCTATGAGCCTTACTCCCTTCCCTACTACAGGAGCTGTAAAAGATGCAGCAATTACACTAATAAAATTTTTCAAACAGTAGCCTCGGGTTATTTCGCAGCTTTATAGAGATTTTCTTATTTAGCGGCTATGTAAATTACAGTACTACCAATTTCCTATACTGTATACTGTACTGCGAGAAAAGCCAGACTGGAAGCAGTTTAAATCAACCGCTGTGCCAACAAAACTCCTGCGCACACACATTTCCCCAGTTACACTCACAGTGTCACTCATTCAGTGCTCACTCAACGTCAAGGACACTTCCTCTTACTCCCGTAATTCTTCTCGAGTTTACCACATGCACAACTTACCAAGACATCTAAATGCTCAGCAGCTGCTTCTCCTTCCAGTTCAAGAGAGAAAAAGAAAGAGAAAGACATTGATTTAGAAGAGAAAGTTTAAATTTTGGACAAACTTGACCGAGAAGTGCGTCAGTTATGGCACACTGAAAGAGTGTAAATGAAAGAATTATTCACAGCATCAGACTGAAGGTTGACAAGATTTGTGCAACATATACACTGCCATCCATATCTATGACCATCCAGCATTAAAGACTGTCACTGTACCAAGAAATGAAGATGCTTTGAAAATTTGGGTAGTGAGCACATGACACAAAGCTGCACGAAGTAGTTTAATGTTTCAGTATTACGCAATGGAAATTTAAGCTCGGCAGCTCGAGAAAGAGATGTCCGCAAATTCACAGCAAGCTAAGACTGGCTTCACACCTTCATGAAATGTGCCGAGCTATGTTGCATGACTTTCTATGGGAAGGTTGCATCATATGAGACAGCTGCAAGGTGAAGGGAGAATAGACAAAATAATAGAGCAGGTTGCAAGAAACCCCGAAATATATATATCTAGTTTAGTTAATTCAAGTGTCCAGGAAACACAAATAATCTTTGGTTTATTTGTCTGAGTGTGCCAGAAATTCTTTATCTAATCTTTATTTACAGTACAGGTAGTCCTCGACTTACGACCCACTCGACATACGACCACCTGGACATACGACCGCCTCAGTCGTACCAAAAAATTTTAAAATTACATACATATTTTCCAGTACCGAAACGTTTCCGTCCCGTACGAGAGCGTGGCATGGGCTGGGCCACCTCGTGGTGCACAGCGTCCATGCCATAGCACACTCAGTTGGTGTTTGGCCGCCGTTGTTGTCGGTAGTGATTGCGCTGTGTACTGACAATTTTTTCAATATTTTCGGTTCTAATTCCCTTTAAAATGAGTGGCAAGCGTAAAAGTGAGAGTTCTGGTGGTGCTCAGAAGTAACAAATGGGAGAGGCACTTGCTACTATTAATAAGGGGATGCAAATGCTTGATGAAATGGATCAAACTGATGAGCGTTTTGCAAAAGTTGACAGAATGATCCAAGATGCACTTGCTGATTACAGGGAGATTTACAATGAAAAGAAAAGGCAAATTGTGCAGTCTAAATTGGACATCTATTTTAAGAAGTTCCCCACTGCTGTCTCCTCACACCCCACCAGTGCTGTCTCTTCACGCCCTAAAGATGACCCAATACTTTCAACAAGCAAGTATGTTGACATGTCTGAAGAAAGCGACATTGATGACCCACTCAGCCCTGTCTCCTCCTCTGCTTCATCCAATTAATGTAGTCTCCATGTTTAATTAAAAAATTATTGAGGCCCCGTGTGCATTCAGCTGACTACATTACCGATCGGTAACGTTCCCTAGTCCCATGCAGTAGGTCGAGGGTTCGAGTCCTGGCTGGTGAGGTAGTTGATTATATGTTCAAAGTCCGCCTGTTATATGGACTAAAAATGAAGTATATATATATATATATATATATATATATATATATATATATATATATATATATATATATATATATATATATATATATATATATATATATATATATATATATATACAGTATATATATACATACAGTATCCTGGTACCACAGGGCAGTGTATTGGGCCCGCTGTTGTTTGTTTGTTTTATAAATGACATGCCTGACGTTGTGCACTCCTCCATACAAATGTTTGTCGATGACGCCAAGTTATTTGGGGAAATCAAGAACCAAGCGGACTGTGAAGAGCTGCAGAGGGACCTCTGTGGGCTCCAAGAATGGTTGAAGAAATGGCTGCTGAGATTCAATGTCACGAAGTGTAAGAGGATGCACCTGGGGCGTACCAACGGTAAGGAGGCGTATCATATGTCACAACGGGATGAAGAAACTGCACTACAACTACTCCTTGACTTACGACGGCGGTTGGGACCAAAATCCAGATCATAAGTCGAAAATGCGAAGATAATACAATAAAACCCCGCTTTACGCCGCTTCATCATTACGCTGCACCCCG